GCAACAAGCCTACATTTCTGTATAAACAGTTGGTTCTTAGGAAGAAACTCAGAAAGCGAATGGGAAACCACTTAGCCCCTTTAAAACTCAGAAGTGCTGCTAGCTAAGGCTTTAGTAACACCTTATTGATGGACTGGATTTCTGTACAGATTTTCCCACTCTGAGAGAATAATTTCAGTATTCATTTGCCACTTCCCATTATTGTTGGAGGTGAAATAGATTTTGTGAAGTACTCTACCACTACTCTCAAATTAGTATTTTTGCAATTATTAGTCACCTCATCCTAAAAAAAAAAAGGCTGTGTTTTATACACACACACACACACACACACACACACACACACACAGAGCAGTTGGCTCTTGAAATTGAGCATTCATGGGTGAGGTGAGCAGCTGGTTTCAAAATGTAAATGCTATCTCCAGTGCCTTGACTCAAACAGAGTGAGCTGGAAGGGAGGGAGTGGGCTGTGGTAGACACGAGGACAATCTTGCTGATTCTTTTTTTTTTTTTTTTTGGTTTTTCAAGACAGGGTTTCTCTGTGTAGTCCTGGCTGTCCTGGAACTCACTCTGTAGACCAGGCTGGCCTCGAACTCAGAAATCTGCCTGCCTCTGCCTCCCAAGTGCTGGGATTAAAGGCGTGTGCCACCACCGCCCGGCTAATCTTACTGATTCTTTTAAGTCTACTATCACCACCATTAAACAGCCTTGGAGAGTAACATGAGCTCTGGGGAGAGGTATCTGGGCCGTGGCAGAGGGAAAGAAAACGGAAACCAAGAGAGAACCCATTGCATCTGTGACACAGTGGCTTCTACAATATTGAAGACATAGGCCAATCGCAATCGTCTGGTCCCCAAAGTATTTTACAAAATGTGAACTTTTCATTTACTCTGATCACAGGTAAGTAGTGCCATAATTAAAAAAGCATTTGAAAAACGTGTTCCCTGTTCTTTAGAAATTATGTGACTGGACTGGACTCAGTGCTACTATAGCTTGGGTGCTTATCAAATACGGGCAATTCACACTTATGCTCATGTGATACTATAAAAAAAGGCCTATAAGACTTATTATCTCCACTTTCCAGATAAAGTGAATGTTTAGAGAGCTGAAGATCTGACCAAAACCCATGATCCTAGCACCCGAGAGGCTGAGGGAGGAGGGTTCAAATCAGCCTGGGTTATATAGCAAATGCTATCTCAAAAGTTAGAATTTGATGTAGGTTATACGTTTGTATGAGATTGTAATGGGACTGAGTCCTGAAATTATCTGTTTATTTCATGAATGCTGAAGTGCCTTTCTAAGTTTTATCATTTGATGTGATCTAGAGGTTGATTATCCCCAGGCTTAGCAAAGAGTAAGCAGTGGCTCGACAGAACTCGTAATCAAGGACTAACTCCATGAGAGTCTCTGAGTTGTAGAAAAACTATGTGGTTAGTGTGCTTGTGTTAACGTCTCCTTAGAATGCTTCTGAGATCAAACAGGAGAAGTTGGAGTGTGGCTCAGTGGTAGAGTACCTGCCCAGCATGATTTGGGGGTAGAGGTGGGGCTGGGGAATTGGATTGGATTTTTGTTTTGTTCACCTACTTTTCCTACTCAATTCTCATGAAGTCATTGAAACTCGATGGGCCTTTGTGATACGGCAGAACTACTTTAGTTGAGACAAAAAAAGCACGGGAAATAAAGATAAAAACACCTGGGGCAAGATGAGCCACACCTTAAATGCTTCTTTTTATAATGGATTTTGTTCGGCTGGACAATTGTTACAAAATTATAGTTTTGGTGACAGAAACATCAACAAGCGTTTACAACAGCCTGGAAGACATTCATCCAGGATCAGCATTAGCATGTCACGGTTCTGATGAGGGGCTGCCCACTTTCTGTGTTCTTGGAAGATAGAAAGTGAGCAAATTCTTCCTCAGCTGAAGATTACGGTGGTTTCTGTGATTCCCAGAGATAAGAGGAGAAAGAACACCAATCTCAAATCACCAAACTAGTTAAAGCAAGCAAGGAATTGAAGCATTTGTAGTAGTGTATACAAGGTCTCCCCCTAAGGTGGGGTTTGAGAGGTCAGCGTTAGATGTGAAGAAGACAAGGGTTTTATAGCTCAGGGGTAGGGGTTTTCCACATAGGGGACTTGGGGAGAAAAGTAGTTAGAGCTGCAGGAGCAGAACATAAACATAGCACGTTAGTCATAACGACCTCCTGGGACAAAGAAACGATTGCAAGGTGGGAATAAAGTGGACATAAAGTCAGTCAGAACAACCTTTTGAAACACAGGTAGGGTTGCAAGATGGTTATAACTTTTTAACCAAAACATGATTTCTGATTCCTGGAAGAGCCAGTATAGAACCATTTGTAATTAAGGTTACAGGTTGGGCCTAGCCCAATCCTTGAGAAACGGATGTTTAATCACAATCAGGAAGGAACCTGGTTTGGTTTTTGTTAGCATTCTGTCTAAGCTCCACCCCCACAGTTACCTGGCAACAGCCAGGTAGGCCTGACCCACTATAAAGGGGCCTGCTTGCCCCCTCCTCCCTCTCTTGCTCCTCTCTTACCTGCTTGCTTCCGCTCTGTCCCCTTTCCCTTCCTCATTTTCTTTCACCCCCCTCTCCACGTGCTCGATCCCCCTCCCCCCGCCATTCTCTGCCTCTACTACCCTCTTAATTCCCCTCCCCATGCCCTGAATAAACTCTATTCTAGTCGTGTGGCTGGTCTCTCAGTGGGAAGGGATGCCTCAGCACGGGCCCGCTGAGACATCCCCTTCCCCCATACCTCACCACACCCCCATAGAACATATCCCCTTTTCTCTTTATCTTTTTATAAACTTGTCAGTTGTACTCTAAGACGATGGCTGCCAAGTCCAGGCTGGTTCATCAGTTCCATCTTCAAAATCTCACATAAACCTAAGTGCCTCCAAATGCTGTCTTTAGTGGCTAGAGCTTCCATTAATGAACTTGGGGAAGACACAGTGATTCAGTCCCGTGTTGAATTTAGTCTCACGTTGTAGTATTCACACGAGGCGTGAATCAGACAATTAAGTGAAGCATTTACAATGTAGTCAATGAACTCAAACCATCAACTCTACCTAGAGATTTATACTACATGTCCATGTTGGCTCTATAGTAAGGGACGGGCCAGATGGAGTGGGTTTCTGGCCTTTTGGGATTTGGGGCTAGAGGAAGAAAAATGCTCATGTAAATGTGCATGCTACGAACTGTGGTGGCGCACGCCTTTAATCCCAGCACTTGGGAGGCAGAGGCAGGCAGATTTCTGAGTTCGAGGCCAGCCTGGTCTACAGAGTGAGTTCCAGGACAGCCAGGGCTACACAGAGAAACCCTGTCTCGAAAAACCACAAAAAAAAAAGTACCTGAGAGAATCTAAATTTGGGATCAAGAAAACCTTTCAAGGACTGATGTTTGAGCTGAGATCTGAAAGAGTACTGCCTAAGAGGAAAATTCCAGGTTCCAAAGTAAGTCTCTATGTAAAAGCCCAGAGGCAGCAAGACAGAAGCTTTTGATGAAGAAAAGCCCCACGGGAGAATAATGGCATGCCTTCCTAGATTGGTATAGGCCATCATACCGAGTCAAAGAAACACCTTTAAAGTTTTATTTATTTATTTATTTATTTATTTATTTAATTTTGAGATAGGGTTTGTCTGTGTAGCCTTGGCTGTAGACCAGGCTGGCTTTGAACACAAAGATCCACCGGCTCTCCTGCCCCCACTCCATGCCTCTAGTGCTGGGATTAAGAGGCCTACTGCAGGCCTTTCGACCTTTAATCAGAGTAGTGCCAAGACTAATTTTGTGTTTGGTAATGTTTTGGATATCTTTAGTGAGGCCTAGGAATGGGAGGCAATGTAGGCAGATGTGTGGATTCCAGTAAGAAGGCTGTGGCAACAATTTTGGGGCAAACAGAGGCAGCTAGGGCAGTTAAGTAGAAACAGGGACATCGAATAAAAGGGGATATGCAAGAATATGTTAATGGTTTGGAAGTTGTGGGGAGAGTGCTGCACTGGTCTGGTGTTAATATTCAGATCTGCAGGAGGGCTAGGCATGTGGCTGGCAGCTTCTAGCATAAGGGAGACTCTAGGCTCAGTTCAGCCCCGAGTAAACTGGGCGTGGTGATGCATATCTGTAATCCCCATTCACGCACGAAAAGTGAGAAATTCAAGGTCACTCTGAGTTTCAGTTTAAAAAAGCTTGGGTAAACAGACGCTGCTTCAAAAAAAAAAATTCCCAAGGAAGGTAGACACTCTAGTAAACAAAAACGATTTATGCAACTTATCAGCATATTTTAAAAGCAAACCAGAACTTCTAAGACATGCCCTTGGTCGGATATTTACAGCTAGCTAAAAGTTAAATTGAAACCTACAATTTAGCCGGTTCTTATATCCTACAGCAAGGAGAAAAAGAAAACCTTCTTATATAAAGGGAGTACTTTTATTGTCATGGGAAAAACTTTTCCAAGTTCAACAGAAGCAAGAACGCCACTTTTTATTAACAGTTTCAGGGACGAGTTCCAGAGACTACCGGAGGGTTAGAATCTGACTTCCGGGTAAGCAAGCGTTTTCAGCAAACAGGGTGGAGGGAAGGAGGTAGGAAACCCATGGGGAGCCCCGCCTCTTTGAAGGCGTGGCCTTGAGCCCGTGCAGCTCGGTTTCCCGCGCATTACGTCCCGCCTCGGGCTTGAGGTCGTGATCTCTACCCACGCCTCCTCAACCCCACGCCCAGGCACTTTGGTTTCCGCAGTCCCGCCCACAACTTCTGAGGGCGTGGCCTCTCAAGCTTTGCCCCTCCATTTCCGGAACTTTGACCGCGTTATTAAAGCCCCGCCCCCAAATCTTGAGGGCGCGGGCTGGAGCCGTGTCCCTCCGTCTCGGGGAGTTTTACCGCGTTTCGGCAGCCCAGCCCTCGGTGTCCCGCGGACTCCGCGCGCAGCTGGATCCGGGAGTGACCAGCGGGGTGCGGGGCTCAAGCAACCCTGACCTCCCAACCTCGGCGGGAATGCCGCGCCGGCTGCCGAGGGTCTGCTCCGGGAACAAGCCTCCTCCCGTGCCCGCCATGGCACCGGCTACCGAAGGGCTTTGGGCCCACAGCCGGGCGGCGCTTGCCCGCCTGGAGAAGCTGCTGTGCTGCTCCCGCTGGTAAGGACCGACCTAGCGACCTAGTGTCGACTGCCCCTCCGTGTCCCACTCTTGTATTTTCTGAGTGGCTTTCCAGTCACCTGCAGCAAAGAGGAATCAAACGGCACTTTTCGAATTTTCGCGGGAGAACCGCCTTGGGGGCGTGGCTCAAAGCTCAGCTCGCTGGCCCCTCCCCGAAGGTGGTGCTCGGAGCTGGGCGGGGCTAAGGCCTCGTGTTCTTCAGTTCTGACCTCTGGGAAGGTGGTCGGGTGGGTGCGGGCCACAGCAGCCCCTGTGAGACTGACCATTTGGTCCATTTTCTAGTAGCAGACTCGACGTGGAGGATGGGAGGCTAGGGACCTGCTTAGGGCTAGTTTGGGGATGGCAGTGTGATAGATCACAATTTTTCCTTAGTTTGATGGAAAGATTATGGCCCTGTACCACGCTCTCTCATGAATTTTATTCAGTTCAAAATGCTTTCCTGAGTGGTGCTTTTTTTATCTGTAGCTGTTTATCATATACTACCCAGGAAGTGCTCTTCTTTTCCCTTTTTTCTCTTTGGCAGTAGTGAATGTTGAACCTTCCGTCTTTAACACTCAGTTACTACACTGTAAATTGCAGGTTTTTTTTTTAAAGTTAACTGACAACAAATTTTGCACTTACATTAAATTATTATTCTTTACAAAAACTTAGTATTTGAGAGAATGGCATTGCACTTCTTAGAAGAGTGGCAATTTTGTTAGCATGAAGATGTTCAGAGCTCTGCTTGTGTTTTCCTGAAGCGTATAGATCATCCTGGGCATAGACATGGGAAACTCAACTTCTAGTTGCAATAGCAGAAGCCAGCGATGGCTCACACCTGAATCAGCGGTTCTCAACTTGTGGATCTCGACCATTGGGAAACACATTTCTGATAGTCTTAGGAACTGTGACTCTGCTTAGTAGAAAAATTACAGTTATGAAGTAGCAAAGAAAATAATTTTATGGTTGAGGGTCGCCACACCATGAGGACCTATATTAAAAGGACTGTAGCATCAGGGAAGGTTGAGCCCCAGTCACTGCTTTAAATAGTTGAACCTAAGATAGACTCACAGATGGAAATAGCCTTCCACTTAGAATGTGTCAGACTACATGAGTTCAGGTTCCAGCTACATCTTTGGTGGTCTCTGTACCTCAGTAATAATGATTTGCTCATTCATGTATTAATTTGCTGATACTAAAATTTGATAATAAACATTTATTGAATACTTAACGACATACCAAACAGTGTTCTGAGTACGGAGAACTCATTAGTGAGCAAAAACTACTTCCTGCCTTTCTGTTGCTCCTGCCTCAAGGTTCCCAAACATTCTTTTTTTTTGGTGTGGGGGGGGAGGGGAAATTAAATACATGAAAATTGTTTCCTGTGGTGATTATCCAAAATGGTAACAAAAAGGTGTGATGAAAAAAATGATTTAGTCTGCTTGTCGAATCATTTGGAAGAGACTAACTAGGTAAAGTATATGAATAATCTATAGATTGCCCAAAAATTAAACAACCGGTTCTTTTTATGAACTGCTAACTCTTTTCTTTGAAACTAAGTGAGCTTACTATACAAGTCAAGGGCCTGAAGGTATTTAGGCCCAGACTTTAATATGTCACATCCAGTTGTCCAGAGAATATGGGATTTCTGTGGTTTTGTTTTTTATTTTTCAATTTATGAATCTCTACTAGATGAGCTTATTTGAACTATTATATATTATTATATTCTAGTCTCATTAGGATTAGAATTAATTTTTTTATGAAGTGTCAATAAATAGTACTTAGGTTTTTCAGTCACAAATCATCTCTATTTTCTTTCTTTAAAAGGGTTAACAGTCTGGGAGTGGATGGCTCATGCCCTTATTCTCAGCTTTCTGGAGGCAGTTACAATCAGATGCCTTTCTGAGTTTTTAGCCAGCCTGGTCTACATTGAGTTCCAGGCTTGCAGGACTACACCCTGAGACCCAGTATCAAAAACCAAAACAAATCAAACCAAAATTATAAAAATGTTCTTTGTTCAAGGGCTATAGGAAAGCAGGCTGTTTTGGCTAGATTTGGACCAGAGACAACAACTTTCCAAACTTCTTTTCTTTTATTTTTCTTTTGATACAGCAGATTGCTATGTAGCCTAGGCTAGCCTGGAACATTTTATGTGCCCATATTATCTTTAAATTAAGTGACCTCCTACTGTAGTGTCTTTAGCACCAGGATTACAGATGTATGACACTATGTCCAGCCTCTGACTCAGTTTTAACAAAGGAAACTTAGTTTAAAGACCCTTTGGATATAGCGGTTTGCATTGCACAGGAAATGATTTTTCATACGGGACCATACGGGAAATGCTTTTCTTTCCCAGTTTTGCTGTCTCAAGCTTTCTGCCTTTCCCCTCCTGCTTGCTAGAAGAGAGCAACACTGGACGGTCTGCTGCTTGCTTCAGCTCATCACCCAGAGTGTCATGTTATTTGAAATTCGTGTATGTCCTTTCACGGAGCTTCAGAGTTCTCCCCAGTAGGCTGCTGATTACCCCGATTACCCTCAGATTCAGCTTGCAGCTGTCATCTCTCTGGTGTTCCCAGCTGTCACCTGTCTTGTGTAGCACATTGGATCTGTTTTGCCACAAGCATGGCTTGCTCTTGCTGTAGATTGGCTATGTTACAGGGCATCCTTTTCTGACCTTTTAACATGACTCTGGCTTCAAGGTGAAGCTGGTGAATGTGTTGAAGAGGCCAGATGTGACGATGAAGGTAGGCCCAAGCCTGACAACCGAAGAGAAGCTATTTAAAGACTGGGGGAAAGAAAGCTGGAAGATCTTATTATTTGAGAGGCTGGCAGAAAGCAGAGAACTGATGTGTTCCTAAAGGAAGCAGGAAATGCAGATAGGAGCTGCCCTGTTAGTGTATCCAGGTGTCCTGTGATGCTGTTTTGTGAATTAAAATTAATTAGGTACTAATTGGCATATTTTTGGAGTGAGGAGGGTTGGGTTTTTTATGCTAATTTTATTTTGTGCTTTTTATATCACTTTAGAGAAGATTAAAAATTAATAACTTTGAAGATAGTTGTTTTTTCCACAATATTCCTGTTATTTAAAAGACAAATTCATTTTATATATGTGTATATGCATATATAAACTTAAAGCACATGCACACTATGCATATGTATATGTGTAAATGCATAGTGTGCATGTGCTTTAAGTTTGGGATCCTCCTGCTTCAGCCTTGAGAGTGCTGGGACCACAGCGCTATACATGAATTCTAGGGACTGGGGAGGTTGCTTGGTGGTTAAAGTGTTTGCTGTACAAGCACTTGTACAAACAGCATGAGGATCTGAATTCAGATCCCCAGCATCTATGTAAAAATGAGGCTGCTGTGCTCTTCTGTAACCCCATGAGGGGGTTTGGGGGAGACAGGTAGATCTCAGGGGCTTGTTGGTCAGCAGTCAGGCTGAAATAGTTATCTCCAGGTTAAGTAAAAGACTGCTCAGAAACTTAGGTGAAATTATTGAGGGTCCTATTCTTAGTCTCTGTACGTGGCCATACATGCATACACCACACATGTATCCTCCATGTGTACAAGTATACATACAAATAAAAGATGAATAGATGTCTGCCACTGCATCCCAGCTCAGCTTCAGATCCTGCGTCAGGTTACTACTCTTTGTTCACTTCCTTGTTTCGTGTTAATAAAATTGCCCTTTGTATCCATATTATGTATGAATGTTCTTAAAATAAAGCACAGATTTCTTGACTCCAAGCATTTAGCTTTTGCCTTTCTTTAGGAGTTTTGACTCTTCAGAGTGATCTTTACAGGCCAGTAATCCTTAAGTAGGATGATTGCTCCCTCTGGATTGCTGTGGGACTGCTTGGTTATTCATTAGAACAAGAAAGTACTGCATTTTTTTCCCTGTAAGGCATATGTGCTCAATTTTAAGGAGTATGAAGGATATACACTTCAGGGTAAGTTATGATGAAGGCCAGGAGTTGTGGAGGAAGCAACTTTGCTTAGGTCTGTATGGTGGAACAAAGCTATTGGGCTTTGTAGTTAAACCTTTGAGATGTGAGTACATTTTTATTAATAAAACCATTGGTCACAATGGTGGAGGTGGTGGTCGTGGGTGATATTAGCAAATGACTAAGCTAAGAGTGGTAGAATAAACAGGGAATGGGTTAGATGGTCTAAGACTTAAAATCAATTAGATCTTGAGGGATCAGTAGCCTTAAAACAAAGTGTCCATTTAGTTTACCTAATTATTGTTCTAGTTTGTCCCTGTTGCTGTGACTAACACCAGAACCAAAAGCAATTTGGGATGAAAGGATTGACTCTAGTTTGTACTTCTAGGACAAGGTCTATCACTGAGGGAGACCAGGGTAGGAACTAAGAACAGGAAGCTAGATAGAAGTAGAAACTGAAGCAGAGCTGTGGGATACTTCCTGCTCTCTAACCAGATCTCAGCAGGCTTACTTATCCAGCCCAGGCCCAACTGCCTAGAGAGGGTGCTGCCCACAGTGGCCGACTCTCCACATCAGTGGTCAGTCAACACAGTCAATCTGATAAGGCAGTTTATCTGTTGGAGTTCCATTGACCCAAGTAACTCAGTTGTTTCTAATTGACAGTTAGAAAAAAAAAATAAAAGAACCAGCGCGATTAACCTCCTAAGGAGGGCTATTCATATGGCTTTCCTGAAGCCTGATGTCCTAGCTATCCAATGATGAATATAAATGAGTTGGCTTTTAAAGCTGTCTCCAATATCCAGACTTCACAATTATTAGCATTGTTTGCAGCTTTTAATAAAATTAACATATATGTAAAAGGCAACACAGATTTTTAGTATCCATATCCTCCAGTGTAAAATTTCTTTATTCATGGAATTTATTTATGTGTCACTTTACTTATTTGTTTGATGTTTGTCTCCTTCAATTATGACATAATTCTTATAAAGATAGGCTCACATTTTTAGCCACAGTGTCAGATATAATGTTTCTAATGTTAAAATAATGAATGAAA